CGGTACCGGGTATGGTTCCTGTCTGGGGGTCCCTGGGGGTGTTTCTAGTCCTAGGGGGGGTCCCGGGCGACTCCCGAGGGTCGGGACCGGGGACGGTTCCTCTCGTGGAGTCTGAGGGTCCCTGGGGTGTTTCTGGTCCCAGTGGGGTTCCAGGGGTCGGTACCGGGCACTGTTCCCGTCTGGGGGTCCCTGGGGGTGTTTCTGGTCCCAGGGGGGTCCCGGGGGGTTCCCGGGGGTCGGTAGCCCTGTCGTGAGGTCTGGGGGTCCCTGGGGTGTTTCTCGGGGTGTCGGCAGGCCTGGTACCTCTTATTTTGTGTGTGTGTGTGTCTGAGAAGATGCTGCTGTCTGGGGAGGGGGGTTTTGCCTCTCCTTTGGGGAGAAATGTTAGAAACCTGGGGGCTGTAGGTGCGTCTGTGGAGCCCGTTGGGTTTTGGGGGGTGTCCCTGCATTGAGGGGCTGGGAATGAACCCCCTGGGTGGGATGTCCCGGGGTGGGGATTGTGGTTCAGGGTGTGCTTTCCTTGGCCACGAGCGGGTTAAAAACCCCTTTATTGACCCGAATCGCTCCTGCTGTCTCTGTGTCCAGGTGAAGGGACCCTCCCCCAGCAGCTGCCATGGGTTCTGTGCTTTCCCTCCCCGCCGGCGGCGCTGCCCCGAGGCAGAGGAAGGCAGCTGAGGAGGAGGATGACGATTTACTCGACAACCAGGACCGTGTGGAAGACATTGCCAAGTTCCCCTACGTGGAATTCACAGGCCAGGACAGCATCACCTGTCCCACTTGCCAAGGCACTGGCTGCATCCCCACAGGTGACTGCTCCTCTCTGGGCTTAAACACTCGTTTACTGAGTGCTTAAAATGATTTATTACATCGTTTTTATTCTAAATGATACATTTTTGTATACAATCGTTCATCACAATGTCATTTATTTGACCTGTGGGATGGGATAATGCTTCCCTTTGCTTCCCTTTTGCTTCCCAGAGCAGGTGAATGAGTTGGTGGCTCTGATCCCCTACAGCGACCAACGGCTTCGTCCCCAGAGAACGTGAGTTCACAGAGGGAGTGTTTACAAACAGGGCTCTTTTTATATCATTTACTGCTGCAGCTAAACCCTTCACCCCCATCTGCAGCTTCTTCACGCCACCAAACACGGTTTGAAGGTGTAACTTTGAATCCTTCCCGTGAAATCCCACTGTGGGGTGAGTGTGGGAACAACGATCCTACTCACTGAAGCTTCTTTAGAGCATCTGCAAAACCACCCAGCTGGGAAACAGGGGGGGCACAAACCGTGGTTACTCAGTGCCAGAAAATAAACTGCTTAAAAAGGGGGGGGAGGACGGGTTTTGGAGCAATTCAGATACCGAAAAATGTCAGAGCAGGAATTCTGTGTCTGTGCCGAGGGGGAACGAGCGGGTGGTGGGTGCTTGTGAGACCCAGAGTGTCACGGAAGGGCACGGCAGGTGAGCCCTTCCCTGCCTTTTCCCAGGAAGCTCTACGTCCTGCTCTCGGTGCTGCTCTGCCTCCTGGTCTCCGGGCTGGTGGTTTTCTTCCTCTTCCCACACTCGGTGCTGGTGGAGGATGATGGGATCAAGGTGGTCCGGGTGTGGTTTGACAGGAAGAACTCCGCTGTCCTTCTGGCCATCACGGTACAGTTTTCCACGGGTCTGTGTGTTCTGGGGGGGAGCAGACTTGGAGCTGAGCCACCAGGAAGGTCCCTGCTGTCCACATCTCCTCCTCCTCTCCCTTCAGGCCACCTTAAGGATCAGGAACTCCAACTTCTACTCGGTGGCAGTGGCCAGCCTGACCAGCCAGGTGCAGTACATGAACACGGTGGTGGGCACCCAGCAGGTCACCAACATCTCCAGCATCCCACCCCTGAGTGACAAACTGGTAATTCCTGTCCCCCAAGGTCAAGGGGGAAACCTGGGCCACCACCACGAGCGAGCACTGAGCTGCACCCCAGAGCTCTGCTCAGCCCAACATCTCATGGCCAGGGCGGCCCCAAAGGCATCAGCAAGTGGGAAATGCCCCCAAAAACCAGAGGGACTGAAGGAGTGCTCGAGCTGCACATAAATGATGTTTTATCTGTTACAGGTGAATTTTACTGTGAAGGCAGAGCTGGGTGGAGCCTTCTCCTACGTGTAGTAAGGATTTGCTACTCCTTGTATGGGGCTGGGGAAGAGAGCAGGGTTGAAGGTGCCTTTGTTACAGTTTGCAAAGTAACCTGGGGTTTGAAAAGGACCCAGTTTTTCTACTGACTTCCTGGAAAGCAGCTGTTTGCTAAAAAAAAAAATCACTTGAAGTGCCCTTTGTCAGAGTGTTGTGATGTGGTTTTGAGTTAACACCGATGGGAAATTATTGTAGTAATAATAGCTGTAAATATAATTATAAAAAATAGTTATAACTCATTATTGGCTGCTGAGAAACCCACTGCTGACCCACTTCTTTGGTGTCTTCCAGTTCCTTCTGCACATACCCCAAGGTGAAGGTCCATAACATCGTGGTCTTCATGAGGTAGGTGGTTCTCTGCTCTCCCCCTGCTTGGAGCTCTCTTCCCAACCTTCCTGGCTCCTGAACTCCAAAGGGAACTGCTGCCACAGCAGGTCTGGGGTGCAAAGAGAAAACCCTGCTTGGCAAACACCCCAGCCTTGCCTCAGTTAACCCAGGCCAGTTGACACAGTGGGTGAAATGTGGGACAGGGAGGACAATTCCCTCCGTGTGCCGAGCTCTCCTGCGCTCCAGAGGCTGCACTTCCACCCCTGCACATCCCTGCCCACCACGGCCAGGAAAACCTCGAGGGGTTCTGCAGGGTTTTTTAGGGGGAAGGGAGGGGAAAGAGGAGTTGTTGTGATGAGTTTCAACCTGCTCTGAACTGCTCTTGCCCCTGCCAGGAGCTCGGTGAAGTTCTCCTACGTGGGACACACGACCCAGAGCTCCGTGGAGCGGTACCGGTACGTGGACTGCAGCTCCAACTCCACGGACCCTCTGGCACCTGGGGCAGCCTGAAGGCACGGCTGGGACTTCTAGAAGGGCACAGACACCTTTAACTGGCAGCAGTGACCCTGGTGGGAGGCACTTGGAAGCTCTGGGTGCCTTTTGAGCCCTTCCACGTGCCCACGAAACCCTCCGTGTGCAGGACACGGGTCCCTCCACGAAGCCTTCCCTTTGCTTCTGGAGAAACAGCCTTTTTTTGGGTAGGGAAACTGGACTTCAGGGAAACTTCAGGCTCTGAAATCCCAAAGATTTCGAGTGTTTTGCACCTGTTTGGAAGCTTGGCACTGCTGGGTGTTCCAGGTTCTCTTGCAGTGGGTTTATTGCCTTCCTTGCTCAGTGGCAGCGTGTCACTGGGGTGTGTCGGAGCAGGCCTGGATCCCAAGGGACACTTCACACTTAGGGACGTGCAGGGAAAGCTTCTGCCTCTGCCACGGGCACTAAAAGGAGGCAAAAGAATCAAAACCTTTGGAACCACGGTGGTTTTGGTTTGCTGGCATCTGAGAAACCCCCCGAGCACCGCCTGCCTTTGTGAGGGTCTGTGATGGACTCGCCTCCTCCTCCTCCTCCTCCTCTGATCCTTCCTCCCCCCTCCCGCAGGGGTTTGAAACCAGGGCATGTGCAGCTCGGTGTGTTGCTTTGTACTTGTGCTCCACCGCAGGCAAACAGGGATTTAAACCGATTTTTGTGGGAGTCTGGACTTCCAAGGCTTCCCTGCCGGGAGCGGCGCATTCCTGACGGTCGCTATCAGCTGCCTCCCGAGAGCAAATCGATGTGGCAGCTCTGCCCCCGCAGCCCTGCTGGGGACTCGCAGCCCGGAGAGTTTCGTCCCTCGGGAGTTTTCGCTGGAATTCGATCGCCGGGAGCTGCCCCCGTTCGTGCCCTGCCCCTTTGTCTGCCCGCCCGGGGGGGTGTGGGAGCAGATCAGGCCCCTTTTCAGAGAGGGATGCTCGATTTTTGTGTGACTGGGACATGAAAACACACCTTGCTTTCTTCTTTAAGCAGTGAGATCTCTGCCTAGTGGAGCTGAGCTGTGCTGATTAAACCTGAGTTGGATGTTACCCTGTGCTGTCCTTTGTTTGAGGAGAAGGTCTGGCTTTGTCCCAGAGCTGTGACTGCTCTCTTGTTGTCTTTTTGCCCAGAAATACCTGTTCTTTCACTGTTTTTTGTTTTTTTTTTTTTTCCACAGAATCCCAGAATGGCCTGGGTTAGGAGAGAGCTTAAAGCTCATCTTGATTTCTACCCCCTGCCATGGACAGGGACACTTCCCACTATCCCAGGTGGCTCCAACCTGGCCTTGGACACTTCCAGGGATGGGGCACTCTCTGGGAAACCCATTCCAGGGCCACCCCACCCTCCCAGGGAGAAATTCCTTCTCAATATCCCACCTAAATCTCCCCTTTTCCAGTATGAAGCCGTTCCCTGTGTCCTGTCTCTCCATCCCTTGTCTCAAATCCCTCTCCAGCTCTCCTGAAGTCCCTTTAGGTTCTGGAAGGGGCTCCAAGGTCTCCCTGGAGCCTTTTCTTCTCCAGGCTGAACAATCCCAATTCTCCCAGCCTCTCCTCACACCAGAGCTGCTCCATCCCTCTGACCACCTTTGTGGACTCTCTGGGGATGAGCCCAAGGTTTTGGGGGGAATGAAGGTGAAGAAACTCAACCAGGGAGACACAAAGCCACCCACCCATTCCCAGCTGGAATTGTGACTCCACTCTCCCTCCCTGGTGACCTCACCCACGAGCTTTTCCCCCCCAAATTCTGGAAACCCTTCAATTTATGATGAGTTATTTTATTTTGTAAGGAAAATGAAGGAATCACAAGCTTTGCTTTTTATCCATCTCATTCCCCCCTGCTCCTGGAAGCCTGGCTGGGCTCAGTCCTGCCTTGCTCGGGGTCTCCTTGCTTTTCCCACCTTCCTCCCTCTTCAGCCACAGCCCAAACCCACCTTCTCCCTCTCCTCATGCCCACATCCTACAAGCAGCCTGGGTGATTTTGGGGCTGTCCCCCCCTCAGCAGGACCCCCAAACTTGCTGCTTGGCTGAGCAGGAGAAGGGTTTG